GCTTTCATTTTCTTACATTTGCCTGGTGTATATTTTTAAAAAAATCTTTATTTAATTATGACATAATACAGGAAACTGCACAGATTATGCATTTAGCTTGATGATTTTTTAACAGACTGCGTGAACGCACAACCACCACCTAGATTTAGAAATAGAACATCGCTACACCCGGGGCGCCTGGGTGGCTCAGTGGGTTAAAGCCTCTGCCTTCGGCTCAGGTCATGATCCCAGGGTCCTGGGATCGAGCCCCACATCGGGCTCTCTGCTCAGCAGGAAGCCTGCTTCCCTTCCTCTCTTTCTGCCTGCCTCTCTGCCTACTTGCGATCTCTGTCTGTCAAATAAATAAATAAAAGCTTAAAAAAAAAAAAAAGAACATCGCTACACCCAAGAAATACCCTCTTGTGTTCCTTTCCAATCACTAACCTCCTCCCAAGGGGTACCAATAGCCTGACTTCTAACAGCATAGATTAGTTTTACATGTTTTTGAAATTTACATAAACATAATCCTACGGTATTGATTCATTGCTCTTTTGGGTCTGGCTTCTTTGGCCAGTGGAATATTCATAAGATGAGATTCTTGTCTGTCGTGCATAGTAAGATGAGATTCTTGTCTGTCGTGCATAATAATCTGTTCATTCTTGTTACTGTAGAGTACTACCTTGTATGATTATAGGACTTGTTTATCCATTCTGATATTGATGGGCATTTGGATAATTTTTCAGTTTTGAATAAAGCCACTCTGAACATCATCTTGTCTTTCAATCAAAATATGTTCGCCTTTCTCCTAAGTACATTCCTAGGAGTGGAAGAGCTGGGTCATAGACTATTACTTGGGTTCAGCTCTCTCTCTCTCTTTTTTTAAGATTTTATTTATTTGAGAGAGAGAGAGAGCACCTGAGCAGGGGGAGGGGTAGAAGGAGAGGGAGAAGCAGGCTCCCCACTGTGTAGGGAGCCCCAGGTGGGGCTCGATCCCAGGACCCCGGGATCATGACCTGAGCCGAAGGCAGATGCTTACCTGCTGAGCCACCCAGGCGCCCCTGTGTTCAGCTTTCATAGATAACACCAAACAGTTTTACAAAGTGTTTGTGCTACTGTATGCTCCTCAGAAACAATTTATGAGTTTCCATTGCTCATATCCTCACCAGCTCTCTTGGTTATTTTCCTTCTTTTCCATTTTCAGCCATTTCTGGTGGTTATGAAGAAGTATCTGATTGCCATTTAATCTGTATATACTTGCTAACTAATGAAGTTGAGTATCTTTTCCTATGCTTACTTGCCACTTGGCATATCTTCTTTGGGAAGTGCCTGTTCCCTTTGAGTTTTTCCTGTTACTCCTATTGATTTCTAGGAATTCTTGATATATTTGAGATATGAATTGTTCATCAGATACCAGTATTACGATCATCTTCTCCCACTGTGGGATTTGCCTTTTCACTCTTAATTTTGTCTTCTGATGAGCCAAGGTCTTTCATTTTAGTGTAGTCCAATTTAATATCCTTTTATTCTACCAAATATCAGAACTTGATATGAAGCACATTAATTAAGATATGATAGTAGTGGTCCACATATAGACAAATAGACCAGTCAAAACACAGAGTCCAGGAATGGATCTCTACTTAGATGGTCACAAAGCAATACTGCAGAGCAGTGGAGAAAGGACAGTCTTTTCAATAAGCCATGTTGGATCTCCTTGATATCCATATGGAAGAAAACAATATTTTTTAAAAAGATTTTATTTATTTATTTGACAGAGAGCATGCACAAGCAGGGGGAGGACAAAGGAAGAGGGAGAAGTAGACTCTCCACTGAGCAGGGAGCCTGACCTGATCTGGGGCTCGATCCCAGGACCCCAGGACCCCAGGATCATGACCTGAGCCAAAGGCAGACACTAACTGACTGAGCCCCCCAGGCGCCCTGGAAGAAATGAATCTCGACCCTAGCACATACCACACACCAGAATCCTTCCCAAGAAGGCTATAAATCTAAATGTAAAAGATAGAACAATCCAAATTTAGAAGAAAACATTGAACATCTTTATGACCCTGAGTTTTCCTAACTAAGACATAGCGAGTACCAACCATAACAGAAAGAATGATATACAGCAATGGCATGTTTCTGTCCAACGCTTCATTTCACATCTTTGTCTTTTTGTTTTACGTATGTGGCACCTGTGTTTTGTGACCTCAGGTCATTGTCTTTGTCTTTTATGGCAGGAGTCAGCTCATTCAATTTAGTTGATTTATAACCTATTAAATTTCGTGCCTTCTATTATTTTATGCTAACTATTTATTTGACTCGGTATTTCTACTCTTTTCCTATTTTTGCTGGTTTGGTCACATTTCTCATTCCCCTCTGGGTTCATATTATCTAGGAATTCTGATAGTTTGGGATTTTGATTACTTACATCAATTTCTGCTAGTAGTTGCCTTCACCTTCCTTACAAATATAATTGTCTATCTTTTCTCTATTACTAGATCCAGTAATGTTGTAATCACATTTGGATCTAGGAATAGAGGTGCGTGATTTGCCTTCTCTTCGTTATTTTACTCAGTAGATTTTTCCAGGCTATTGTAAATTTTCCAATTAATAATCTTATGTATTCCATATGCCTAGTTACATTATTTTTCTTTATTCAGATATAACTATATATTACAAGAATCATTTCTCAAGACTGCTTTCCTCTGGTTGTTGAGGTTCCTGTTACTCTTCAACTTATAATCGCTTAGACTCTTCCTTTGAGTGGTCTCCTGAGCTAGGAATGGTGGCATTTAATGTTATAAATGCTTTTATGTCTAAAATTGTCTTTTGCTCTGACAGAAGAATAGTATCAAACTAGGATTTGTTTAAAATTCTTGGATCTCAGCCCCTTTCTCTCAGTAATTTGTAGATATTTTCTTCTAATATGATTCCTATCATTGCAAACAATAAGTCTAGTTGCCATTGTGAGCCCTTTCCATTGTAAATAGCATGTTGTTTCTGCCTGGAAGTACTTTAGGTTTTCTTTCTTTTTTTTTTTTTAAGATTTTATTTATTTATATGACGCAGAGAGATCACAGGTAGGCCAAGAGAGGGGGGGAAGCAGGCTCCCTACTGAGCAGAGAGCCCGATGTGGGGCTCGATCCCAGGACCCCTGAGATCATGACCTGAGCCGAAGGCAGAGGCTTAACCCACTGAGCCACCCAGGCACCCCTTAGGTTTTCTTTTTATCTTCTAAATTCAATGCCATATCAGGTTTGGGGTTGATTTGGTTCCTCTGGGAGTCAAGGATTGGGGGGATTTCCTTGGGGAGAGATAGGGTCCAATAGGATTAGATAATCTAAAGCCTATATATGTGATTCACAATGGGGCAGTGAGTGACAGTCTTGGGAAATTCTTGAGGTTTTATAAGAGTTGGAGATATATGGGGTGCTTGGGTGGCTCAGTTGGTTAAGCGTCTGCCTTCAGCTCAGGTTATGATCTTAGGGTCCTGGGATCAAGTCCCACATCTGGCTCCCTGCTTAGTGGGGAGTCTGCTTCTCTCTCTCTCTTTGTCTCCCACTCCCCTTGCTTGTTCTCTCTCTCACTGGTCAAATAAATTAAAAAATAAATAAAATCTTTTAAAAAAAAGAGTTGGAGATATATGTATCTGAAGCCATTGATTAGCCCACGAAAGTTATTGATTGGACCCTGAGGTGGCAAATGATTGCTTGTAAGCCTGGGATTACAAGTTTTGGGGGGTCAGTTTTGGTGGCCTTTTACGAGTCATTGATTGAGACCTGTGGATTTATCAGTAAATGCAGGACTGTGTGAGTTAGTATGTAATAGACTATTACTAAAGATTTTATGGGAGTCACTAATTCTCCATATGGGCTGTGAGTTATGGGGTCCTATAGGAGGTCAGGTTTGGTCCCCAAAAGTCATTGAGTTGGTTTTTCTATTGAGGGTGTATTGCCTGTGTTGATGATAACTATGAAAACCAGTGGATAATACCATCTGGGACAAGATTTTGTCAAGATTTTGTCAAGCAGTGTGGGTTACTGATTTAGGAGCCTGTACAGACATGCTGGTTGTCAGTGCCCAGATGGGAGTTGGGGGAGGGAGGCAATGAGTTTATGTTTTCATATATGGCAGAAGAAGGTGGGCTCTCTCAGTTGCCCAGAGCAGACACCAAATTATCCAGAAGCTCAGTTTATGCACTTGTGGCATGATCACCTCTAGCCAGAGCACTTTAAGGGCAGCAGGAAATGGAAATAATGTTTTTTGTGACCTCCCATGTGCAGAATACCGTATGGCTTAGTATTTAAGAAAATGTACCTTGGAGCCAGACATACCTGGGTTTGAGTCCCTGTCCTTCCCCCTAATCTGAGTGATCTGGGGGAAAATTTCTTAATATCTCTGAACATCTCTATGTGATGATAAATGGGAATAATACTACTAGAATACCTAGTTCATAGGATGAGTTTGAAAATTAAGAGGTACCTGCTTTGCCCTTGTAATAATAATAATAATATTTAACATCAATGGAGTATGTTCCAGGTGCCAAGTAGGAATGAGCGCTTTGGAGGTATTATACCATTTAATTCTAATGACCCTATGAGAACAGATGTTTTCATCCTCAGTTGTAAGATAAAGAAACTCAGACTAAAGTGACTTCCCCCAAATTCTAGCTAGAAGATCTGGAATTCAAGCCCTCATTCATTTTATACTAAGTCTTATGAGTATTTTTTTTCATATTATATGCTAACACTTGGTGTTGGTTTTACTGAACTTTTTCACAGTATCCAGCACAGAGAGCTGCCCCCTCGGTTCCCCCAGGAGGCAATTGTGGGGAGGATGGTGAATGACTGACCACGTGGACACTGGCTTTTCAGCATTTCTTGGAGTCTCTGCAGAACCCCCGGGCCAGACCCCGTAGTGGAGGCTCTAGGACCTACCTCCCGGCCCCAGCAGCTCTGATTGGGTCCCCGGCTGCCCACCCGGCTTCCAGCTCCTGGGAAGAGCAGAGTCATCGGCAAAAGAGCAGAGTCATCGGCAAGAGAGCCCGGAGAGCTGAGGCCCAGCAGGAACATGCCAGCTAACCAGAGTTCTCCCCAGTGGTCCTCGGTCCTGGCTGCAGAGGGACATGGCAGCCTGTGTGAGGTGAGGAGGGAGAGGACTCCAGGGGCTGGAATTCACCCAGTGAGGAGGCAGCCCTGACTTGTCCCCAGGGCCACAAGGAGGGGGCAGGTAGGTCACAGAAGTGGCTGATTCCAAGACTCTAGGATACCAGGTCACCGTCCTCCAGCTGTGTGAGTACCATGTAGCCGGTGTCCCACATCCAGAGCCCTGTGTGTTTCAGTGATCATGTGGTAGAAGGTGGGATGGGAGGGTCACCCCACATCCGGGGTCCTAGCAAGGAAGATACTACCCCTGACCCACAGCACAGACCCTGCACTCTCCACTGGCTCTCTGTAGATCCTCAGCTGATCACTCTCCCCTCCCCCAGCTTCCTTTCTCCCTTGTCTCAGGGGATTTGCTGATTTCTCCTCTATCCTGATCTAAGGCAGAAAAACCCCCTTTTCTCTGGAACTGAGAAGATGGTAGGGTAATAGGACAACAACAGGATCCAGGGTCCTTCTAGTTCTTCCTCTTCCTTTCAAAGGTGTAAAATGGCCCGAGAATGGACATGACTTGCCCAGGCCCCTTGGATTGTAAGTAACAGCATTAGACTGGAACCAGGTCTCCTGAATGGGTCCTCCACCCTCACCACACCACAGCCAAGACCAAGTTGCCCATTACAATTTCCCTTTGAGCATCTGGGTAGCTCAGTCTGTTGGGCTCCTGCCTTTAGCTCAAGTCATGATGTCCAGGTCCTGGGATCGAGCCCCGTGTCTGCTTCTCCCTCTCCATCTACCCCTCCACCCCCCGCCGCACTTATGTTCCTTCTCTTTCTCTCTCAAATAAATAAATAAAATATTTTTTAAAAAACAAAAGGAAAAATAAATATTCCCCTTGAGAATCTGTAAACAGGGGAAGGAGATGAGAAAGCCAGACCCTGCCCAACAGCTCCCTGCTTCAGACCTTCCTGTGGGTGCTGTCACCTCTGGGACAGGCTTCCGGGACAGGCTTCTGGTCACAGGGGCTCAGGGTCACATGGTCACTAGGATATTAAGCTTTAAAAAATTATTTTTATTTTTATTGTTTCATAATTTCATTAGACCACGATAAAATGTTAGAAAACACAGGCAAACAAATAGGAGAGAATGAAACATTACTTGTAATTCCAGCATCACCCAAAGTTAACCATTGTTAACATTCAGCTACATTTCCTTTCAGTTCATTTTTCCTTTGTACGCACATGTGTGCGTGTATGTGGGTGTATGTTCAGGACTGTGTCTGTGCACGCATACCAGACACGGATACATCCTGTAGCTCAAGTTTAAAAATGGAATCACAGTATTTGGTTGCCTCCTTTTTCATTTGTCAGCTTAACATGATTTTCTGGGCATTAAGTATTTTATCTTCCTGTCCGCACAATGCACAGCATTATGTCCTTTGGGTAAACTTGAATGAATTTAACCAATCCGCTGTATGTGTATTTAGGGTGTTTCATGTTTTCTGCTGTGATCAACACTGCTGTGGGAAAATTCCTGCACTTGAATCTTTTGCTCACGTCACTGAAATTATATTTGGGTCAAAGGTACGAAGCTGTCAAATGGTAAACACCCATGGAAATGTAGAGGCTCCATCATATCAATCACAGACCCACAGTTTGGGCCCGCAACGACGTGCTCCTCCCCACTCTTTCCGCAGGTGGCCACTTGCCCAGCCAGTGTGTGGGAATTTCTAGATGAAAGATTCTGGCCTCTACAGGGTACATTTCTCCACTCATCTCTTCCTTTCCGACCACAGACCTCTGACCCTTTTCAAGAAGAGAGGGAAATGACCAAGACACTGTTGAATGTTATTTATTCACTTATTTATTTGTTGGGGTTTTGGTTTTTTTCGTTAGACGTCAGGGAGCAGGGAATGGGCAGAGATGCCAAAGAACCAATAAGAGTTTCCCCGGAGGTAGGGAACAGCCAGTGGGACCAGGAAATAGTGGCTGAACCTGGAAAATAGGCAGAAGGGTCAGTAAGAGAAAGAGGGATGAGGAACCGCTGAAGGGACCCCGGTGCTCTCCCTGGAGATGGAGGATAGCCAAGGGACCCAGGGGACAGATGAGAGTGCAACGGAACAGAGGAAATGGGAAACAGAAGCCCAGAAGCCAGGGGCAGTGGAAAGACCAACAAATAGTCGTGGGGACCGGAGAAGTAGAGAGCAGGGAAAAGCCAGCAGGTCTAAGAACAATTAAGAGGGATCACAAAATAGGAGGAAGGACCAGAAGGTAGATAGCAACCAGAGGAGCAGAGACCGTCCAGAGGGATGGGAAAACAAAATTTGGCTAAAATGGAAAAAGTAGAGGGGCACCTGGGTGGCTCAGTGGGTTAAAGCCTCTGCCTTCGGCTCAGGTCATGATCCCGGGGTCCTGGGATCGAGCCCCGCATCGGGCTCTCTGCTCAGCGGGGAGCCTGCTTCCTCCTCTCTCTCTGCCTGCCTCTCTGCCTACTTGTGATCTCTGTCTGTCAAATAAAAAAATAAAATCTTTAAAAAAAAAGTAGATAGGTTTGGCATTCTGGGCAGGAGCCTGTGGGACAAGCAGCTTCACAAGGCACCAGGGCTTCAGGAAGAAGGGGATAGGGAAAGGTAGAGGCGCCAGGGAAAAAAAAAAAATAAGAAAGAATGGGAAGGGAGTGGATAGCAGCCAGAGGAGCAAGGACCAGCTGCCGAGGCTATAAACGGGGAAGGGTGGGGAGGGGACAGGCCCATGGGACAGGTGGAAAGACAGGGAAAGGCCTCCCGGGCTGAGGAGTAGCTGAGGACATCAGGAGCCACACGGAACAAGAAAGAGTCTCTGGGTCCAGGAACCGCCAGAGGGAAGGGCAAAGCTGTACTGGGCACAGGGTGTCTACTGGAGGTCCCCGGGGCTAACCAGGGGACTAGGAAACCACAAATTAAAAGCTTATCTGGTGTTGGAGAGCAGCTTGACAGACCAGAGAACAGCTAGAGGGACTAGAGAATAGCTGGAAGGCATACTAGGCATTCCTGAGGCCAGTTAGCAGCGAGCGGCCCCATGTAACAGGCACCGGGGTTAAGGGCCAGTTGCAGAAGCCAGGGAGAGGCTGAGGAACAGCCAGAGTTCCCTGGAATAGGGTGACAGGGTTTCCTGGGATCAGGGATTTCAGTATGAAAATAGGGAAAGTCCTGGGCGAATGAAACAGTTGGTCACCCTACCCAGGAAACAGAAGAACCAGCAAATAGACATGATGTAAGTGATGGAGAAGGCGAAAGTCCAAAATCAAGCATGGTGGAGCACCCAGAATGGGTAGACTTTGGTGGTCAAGAGTCTAGGCTAGGAGCCGGGTTGACCAGCTGTCTGCAAAGTGCCCCCCCTCCCCCAACCAGATGCAGGAGTGTCAAGTGAGAGTATATTAAAAATTCATTCTAGATTTGCCGAAGGCACAGGGAAGAACTGGGACCGGACAGCAGTCAGGGGCCTCAAAGGGCAATCAGTCTGTGCCAAGTAGAAGGAATAAGAAAAGCTCATCAGGACCAGGGAACAGCCAGATGGACTAGGGCGCCATCAGGAGAATGATGCCACAGTCTAAGGTCAGCTAGAGGGAGAACTGTCGGAGGAAACACAGGACAGTCAGGGGCACCAGGGAGCATCAGAGGGAAGAAGAAACAGGAGGCGTGGAACAGTTAAAGGAACCCAGGGACAATCCGGAAAGAGACCAAAGGGCACTCAGAAGGAGCAAGCAACATTTAGAGGGAACAGTAAACAGAGGGACCAAGGCAGTCCGATGGGGACGAACGCTGAGGGAATAAGGACCAGCAGAGGGAGCAGGAGGGAGAAGAGACAGGAGTGGGCCGGGGAAGCAGGGGAAACTGAGAGGGAGCCGTGGAGGGGTGCGAGAACAGTCCGAGGGAACAGGGAACGACCAGAGGGAGCAGGAAGATCAAAGCAACCCCAGCCAAAGGCAAACACACAGAGAGGCTGGGTCTTTGGCCTCTGGTGAGGGCCCAGGGAGCCAAGAACTCGCTGCACACTTTCAGCCAGCCCCATAAGCTCCATGGAAGCCCTTCTGCTAGGCTGGGACAGGGTATAGGAGGGCCGGGTCATATCACAGGAGGGGATGTGGAAGTGTTCACCCACCGGCAGGAGTGAGGCAAGCCCAGAAGTGGGGGTATGGAGACCTAAACCGGCTGTGGGATGCCAGGAAACACAACGGACAGTGAGTAGTCAATCCTGGCAGCCCAGCAGGGCCCCTGGGATGAGAGCCCATAATGTGTGGCTCAGATGATCCCGAAGGGAGACAGGAGAGCCGAGTGGGTGGCTGGAGAGCCTCGAGGAGCTAGAGTGGGGATCCTCACCTCCGATGAGGAAGTCCTTGCAGGGGTCCTGGTGGTGGTAGGCGTGCCATCCTGCCTGGTATAAATGGAACAGGAAATCAAACCTTTTCATAGGTGGTGGGTGAGGCTGAAATCTGGGCGAGTCTGTGTTAGCAACTTTCTCCCCAGATTTCTGGCGCCAAAATCCCCCTCCCAAAGCTGCTATTTTTGCGGGGAAGGGGAGCAAAGACGGGCATCTGTGGGCAGTATACTTTGTGTACATTTATCTTGTGTCTGTCCCTGCTGAGAATGCCTGTCATGGGCTTTGTACACTTTCCCTGCAAGTGGGGCCATCATGACTCCCAGGGAGGGAGGGACTGACTGAGTGTGGTCTTTTGTCCACTAGCTTGGGCCACTGGAGTTGTTAAAATGTTGAACAGTGCCAAATGAGAGAGTATTTTCATTCTTGCACACTGATTGGTAAATAGCCACTCATGTCCTGCCCCCTGAGGCTCCTCCCCCTCGTGTTGCCCACACACCTGCCCCTCTGCCCTTGGGGTAGCTGGCAAGCTGCTCCAGAGGATGGGCGGGCAGAATGAGAGCTTCCCCCAAGCCTGACCCCAGGGCTCCCCCTTGTTGACTGCCCTTGGGTGATGAAGGTGGTACAGGTCAGGTGTGTTCCTAGGGGCTCAAGTCAACGTCCTCCTCTCAGCAACCCCCAGGGCTGT